CTTTCTTTTCATATCCAGAGCAATATTCTGCCTTTTTCAATATTTCCTAGGATATTTCATTTTTCTGGGAGAGGGCTGGGTGATAACTTCCCACAATACAAACCAATAGATGATCAAAGAAATCAGCCTGGAGTTCTCACCTAAGGCCCAAATAACTGAGCCCTGCTTCAGACTCAGATGCAAAGACCTAGCACTCTAGAGAACTTTATAAAGCTGGGAAAGGTGGACCACCAGCACTAAGGTGAATGGGCTCAGTTACAGGGGTGATGAGTATATCATTGAAAGATCTGAAAGACCAGATTAGGGACATGCTCTCATGGAGAAAAGCTATCTATGTGATTGCTAAAGTTGAAATTACTCGATGGCCCATAATGAAGGAAGGAATGAATATCAATCAATGCAATAAGAATCAACCAGCCTAATCCATGTATCCCAGGAAATGATGTTTGGGGTTCCCCACTACTGTGAAATAACAAGAATCAACGTTTGTGTTGTGTTATTTTTCAATTGCTGCAATTGTATTGTAATATTTTGGTGCATATCTGACTAACCTCAGTACTAAAAGCTTTCTAGAAGTGTTAAAACTGAACTGTTTTGGAAGATCCATGGGTGACTAAGATACCAATGAGTTATTATTTTAATTGGTATTTTGTACTGCATTTGATTTTATGATTTTTAGCTTTATCGTGGATTCTTCAGTCTAGTATTATATATGTTATTAACTCCCCAGAAAGTCCCCTTCCGCCTACTGCACTTCCAACATAGTGAAGCTGAAAATCATCCATTGCTAAACATCCAGTAAAGAAAATATTATATTGAATGAATGAATCACATCTTAATATCATAAGGTTCATATTGAATTTCTTTAAAAGAGTAGCCTATTGATTTTTTTGAAAGTAGAACATTCCATCTCTTTGTTCCCGACTTATTGTTTGTGACTAATATCTCACTGATATTCTTTGCCATTTATGAATCATTTGCAATCATTCACTTTATCTTCTCTTCCAAAAACAATTAGCTTGATATTAATCAATTAATTGTCAGGCCCGTAGTTCTTGTTGCATCACATAATATCTGAAGAGGAGGAGGAGGAAGTGGAGGACGAAGAAGTGGAGGAAGAGGAAGATATTGCATTTTTTATATTCTGCTTTTTATAAAAATTTATAACAATTCTAGCACTTATGTCTAAATGCAGTACAGACATAGGATGAAGAAATAATTACTATTATAATATACTACTATCCAGAATTACTGTATATCATAATATAAAATAAGGAGTTTGATATGCAGTATCACCAACTACAGTTATGCACTCAAATTACCAGGTAAGATTTATTTTAAACAACTTCATAGTGGTTCATTTTAAACTTCAAATGATCCAATCTTAATCCTAATCCTAATTGGAATTTATTTTAAAAACCCAGATTAGAAAAGCTGTCAACCATAATCATAGCTTTTCAAAAGTATACAAGAGCACCAGAGGTGGGTTCCTACCAGTTCGCACCAGTTCGGTAGAACCGGTTCGTCAAATCTACTGAACCACACACACACACACACACAGACACAGACACACACACACACACACACACACACACACACANCATGTAAGGGCAATTCTCTGGGCTTGTCTTTTGAATCCAGGTTTGGTTGAGTTCTCAGATGCCATGTGGTCAGTTGAGTAAGGGGCCAATATTATCATGCCTTTACTTCCATCCCCCCTGGGGCTGCAGTGGAGAAGCCTTTATTATGTAAAAGGGACTAGCTTGGCCTTCTTAATGGCCCATTAACAGTGGGGATGGGCAGGAAGCTACAGGCAACTATTCTGTCTTTTAAAACATGTTTCTTTCTTTTCATATCCAGAGAAATATTCTGCCTTTTCAATATTTCCTAGGATATTTCATTTTTCTGGGAGAGGGCTGGATGATAACTTCCCACAAAAGGTAGAAAAGTCTCCAGCCTAGCCAGTGTTAATAGATGCTGGAACGTGTGATCTGCTATCATCTGGAAACACTGCAGCTACCCTGCCTAATTCTTGCTATAGCATATTTCTCTAATATATTCAGGCTAAGGAAAATGAAATAATTCAAAAGAATAACAATCATAATAGTCATAATGCAGAAATAACATAAAATCCTTGTTTTCTTGGGCCTACTAAGCTTTCATTTCTTCCTCTAACTTAGAATATATGGTCCACTCTCAATAAGAATTTTCCTCTATATATTTTATGGTATAAATAACAAATTAGATCTATGCCTGAGAAAAGCAGAATCTTATCTTTAGTGTAGCTGAGATAAAACTGAACTACAGTTTGCTAACCCTCTGTACAGCTGCAAATATACTTGTGCTTTCTTACTTTCTCCTTTTTTAAAGGGGGAGGATACCACCACTTATTCTGCAATAATACTGTTATGGGAGTGGTAATAGGAATAGAAAACCGTTTCTTATTTAGGTAAATAACTTTGTATGGATCACAATGCAAACTTTTGGACTTGCAAAACACACCCATGCTGCAACCAAGTGGCTTTGTTTATTGATGGAGCTCAGCTCATAAGGTGTGAAAACAATTTCTTGAAGATTGGGCAGTAGGGAGAACAAACTAAAGATTACAATTAAAGAGAAGAATGCTTCAATTTGATTTGCTTTTTCAGAATGGAGTAAAATATTTTAACATTGAACATGTTGAAGGATATTTTGGAACAACTGACCCCAAAGTTAATTTTAAGAGTTTCTACCTAAATAGATAGAATGTGTGAGTTGGGTTATGGAGTCATCTGTTATGTTTAAATAAAACTGATAAGTTATTAAAATTGTTTATATTTGTTGAGTAGAGGGAAGTCATTTCTTTATATATTTCTTTTCTTTTGCCTTACTATATTCTTATTTTTATTTTTTTCTATTTTATTTTTTCCTGAACTTTCATCTTTTATTTTTTATTTTATTTTTTTCACTTTGTATGTTATTTTATCATTGATAGTATAGATTTTAATTAAAATTTCTATTGGATAATTCAATATGAAGCTTCCTGTTTAAGAATCTAACAATTTTAAAAATACATTTTCTTCTGACATGTTAGTATTGAAAGTATGAATTTTTATAAAATTGAAATTAGAGATTTAAGATATGAAGTTTCTCTTTAGGTATTTAACAATTTAAAAACACAATTTATATTTTCTTCTGTTAAACTTTCTTCTGAATAGGTTACATGTCACACAATATTTACATAGGGGCCAGGGAGGCAGTTTATACATACACACAAGTGTATGTGCCAAATATGCTGATGAGGATTGGGGGAAAACACAGATTGGAATCACAATTCTACATTCACAACTTTCCTGCCTAGCAGATTAAAAATTACATAGTTGTTATTTCTGATATCTTTTAAGCAATTTTTGATAACTGGCATAATGTTGTGATGTTCAGGAATATTATGTACATTTGTGTAAGCTTTTGTGCAACATTGTCAGTAGCTAAGGAAACTCCAAAGACACTGATTTTGTGTAGACACAAGATAGATAAAAACAAATCTTTATTCACAGTTCACAATGAAAGATGACATGCTTTATTTATTTTCCCATTCATATAGGACGGATTGAGAATATTACTGGGCAACACATTCCAAATCGCTCTTCAATTTCAGACAAATCACAAACAATGCAATCAGTTGAAGCCAATGATGTCATCGAGAAGGTCTCCTAGTTGAAAGTGAACACTAACCGTTGCATAAGTCATAGCCACAACAAGTTGCAGTAACTCCTGACACTGCATTCAGAAGTTCACAATCATACTGAGAGCCACACCTGCTGCTATAGCTTGGTTGCTCGAATCCTACAGGGGGAAAAAAAGGCCTTCTGGTTGCTTATGGAAAAAATAAATTTAATTTTTCACTTCACCAACATTGTCCTTTGTTAACAATGGAAGCTCCTAGATAGATTACCTTTCCTTCATTTTGGAGGTTCCACCACAAAAGCGCATAGGACAAAATCGCGCTCGACAAAAGCGCGCTGTGACGTCATCACAGCGCGACGAAAAAGTTCGAAAAAATGTAAAAATAAAACGAAAACCTTACCCTAAGGCCCCCAAACCTAACCCTAAACCTAACCCTAAA